GTAAATATAATCTATAACAATAAAAATTATAGTATAACTATAGTATAATTTTCATGAAACTATGACAGTAAAAACTGATTAGCTTAATTAACTGTTAAAGCTTTCAAGTATGAATTTTCTCAAATTTTTTATACACTCTGAAACAATATAAAAGTATGCATTAAAATTTGAAGACTCAAGTTAAATTAATTGTCAAATTTAGTAATTAATTTAACAATTAATAATTTGGAAGTTTACCTACTTCCACATTCTCTAAATTGTATAATTATATAATTTACTTTTCTTATAAACGTGAGAAATCACTCAAGATAATTTGAAGGGAACTTCCTTTCTACAGCGAAAATGACAACAAAATAAGATTTCAAATAACAACAATCCAGGAAGAATGAAACCTCTGTATTCGTATCTTCTCTTTAAGCTTGGATTCGACCTCTATATCTCTTGGGATGATCAAGAGCAAAGGTTTCTGTCGAACATGTCGTCGGAGAAAAGGCTTCTGCCATCAAAAAAGCTATCGGAATCGCAGGTAGAATATTGATTTCACGGATATTTAACGTATCATTATCGCGTGTACATTATACACAAATACATACATATACGTACACTAGAATATACATGTACATAGGTATCACGGTATCGCATCGCGCAATTGCGTACCTGTGCTTCAATGACATACTCTCTTAAAACACGGAATCCTTTCTCCACGCCAGCTATCGAATGAAGCATCCTTAAAGGATTGAGCATTCTCTGAGTGCAAGAAGCTGCGCGACAGAAACCTTTTTCACCAGAACGCACGTGGTTCCGACCGATTTATAATACCATTTACCAGTGGGCGAAGGCAAGTCCATTTTCTCCACGAGATACTCCGTACTCTCAAATATCGTGTAAAATAAAGAGAGAGAGAGAGAGAGAGAGAGAGAGAGAGAGAGAGAGAGATAGTACTATATTCCAACTCTCGTGTCTTGTGCTAAATCAGCGCTTACGTAACACAGTCGTAAATACGATCGAATCCGCATTTGTACTATAGCAAAATTATCTTCCAAGAAAGAAAATAACACCGACACACCGAGAAATCTCTCTATTTCTGCGAACGAAGAAAATAAAAACTGTACATAGAAAAAGTCTGTTAATAATAGTTGTTCGGTTAAAGTAATAAAAAATAATTTTATTTTGTTTAATATTCAATAAGAATTATCAAACAACTATAATAATACAATCAACTATTTGGGTTAGTAATACTTATTAAATGTTCAGAAAAATAAAATTATTTTTGATTATATTAAGCAAACATTTTATTGGAATTATTTCATTCGGCAATTTGATAGCTAATATCAGACTCTTTTTTTAGTACGGTCTGATAATCGGACCGAAAATAATTTCTTTAATGTCAAAGATGAAATGAGGAAAATACAATGTAATTAATTAACGTTACTAGTATTTATAAAAATAACTTATAATTCAAGTAGCAACTGAGACGAAAAGAATGTTCCTGGGAAAGACTTTATATTATTGCGGTATTATTTTGTTTGCTCGGAAATATGTATCAATCGATTTTAAAAGATTCCATTAAGTTCGCTTCATCAGTTTGATTGGAAACAGCAATTCGCATACGGCTTTGGACTGTCAACATTCATTCGCGTGCGTCATAAATCTGACGGCATCCGTGCGCGCTTCACAACGACGACATGCTGTGCCTTGCATTATTCAGAAAATCCACGAAGATGCAGGTCGATCTGAATAACGGTAACCGTGGAATATATCAAGAGATTTTCTTAAAAAGAGCCATCTTGCCCGCGCGCTGTCTTGCGAAATGTACTTCGCAGAGAATATATTTAAATCTTGGGTATACGCAGCGCGCCATGTGTAATACCACGTACAATATTGGATTGTTCCCTATTTCTTCCGTAAATTTCTACACTAGCGTGTAGATTGCTGCGTAAAATCCTGGTAGTTTTGGTTACAAGTCAGAAATTATATTTCGCGAATGTTTGCCATAGTTATTTTTTTCAAATAAATCAATGAATGAGATTACAAATAAAAATAATATTATCTTGAAACTAATATTTTTTTTATTCCAAGTAAATTAAAACAAATAAACTCCCGACGAAAGACGTAAAGTTTTCAAAATATGAGGTTACTAACAAAATGTAAGATCACTTTTCCTTCCAAGAATATTCAAGAACTTTACGATCAATGTTGAACTTGTAGTATCATCGACTTCCTTCCTCAAAAATAGAGTCCTGAAATTTCATCTTGTTCGAGATATCTACGTGTCATCGCAGTGAAATTGCATTTTGAGTATCGCGCGGTTTAGGACGATCGCGCTAAAACTATGTAGTTTCTCCCCTGCCTTCTGGAATTCGCAAAAGGAAACAGTTCGTTACTTTAAAATTTTCCCGGGACATGGAAAAGCGTCGCTAGAAAAGAGCGAGATGCAGCTCTCTTGCTATTTCGAGTCTCCTTTCGCGCATTTTCTTGTTCCTAGTAGCACGGAATATTGCATTATGCTAGACATGAAGCGAACTCGCCCATGACGAAATTTTATCTTGCAAAATAGACTACTCGTGTCGGATCAAAGTTGATTATTCGCGCATGCTTCGAAATTACATTTAGGAAAACGAGCATAATACTTCCGAGTAACAAATGCACTGTACGTGAACACGTGCAAGAGTCTTCCTCTCTTGACTATTGCGTTTTCTATATTCAAAGTGGAGACTCTCTATTTGACAAAATCCAAAACGTATCTATCTCTGATGGAGATATCTAGCCGTTATATTTAAATAAAAAGAGCTTCAACAAAAAATCGAGTTTTAGAGAAATAATGAGATGTGACTAAAGCAAACAGAATATTGCTTTTCTGGGTAATATTGTTGACATGCGTAAGATCGTTGATATGAAATTATACTTTTACGTAAAATCGTTAGCAAAAAGTTACATTTCTAATTTTTAAGAATATGTATAAGTTGTTATCGCGACGAAATAATCCCGATTAATATATCTAACACACAATACATTTAATAACGTTGTTCAATAAAAAAAACATCAGAATAATTATTATGAGATTAGTCATTTCCCGTAACTTTTTAGAACCTTTTTGAATACGAATCCGGTTTCCAAATTGCTCCATCACATCATAATTTTGAGAAATTGCTCCATCACGTCACAATTTTCAATTTAAATTATAATAAAGTATTTTATCATATTATAACTATGATATGTGACATGCCAGAGATGTTTTATTACAATCAACATTAAGTATGCCATTAGAACTTTCAACCATCAAACGAATTTTTTAGTATTGGCTCTCATATCAAACCTAATAAATTCATAAAAGATCTTTATACGTAAATTTTTATGATAACTCGGACATTTTCATGTTTTTTGATATCCGCCATATTGAATCTGTCATTTTAAATTTGTCAATTAAGTCACTTTTAATATCGGATTATTTGTAGTCAGTGACTTAAAAAACCTTTAAGTTTAAATAAATATAATTAGAATCCATTTGATAAATAATCAATAATAAATAACTAACAATCAATTCACAGCTTTTCTGTAAATTTAACCATAAATGTCTTACTAACCACAATTGACACTAAAAAATCCTTTTGAAAGTCTCAACAATTTAACTTTGTAATAAATTCTCCAGCTCGTCATATATACTTATATATAGTATAATAAATACATATCATACATATTTATATAGTATAACAAAAATATATGAACAGCTCTTTTTAGCAACTTTGATTGCAAATTTCTCAAAAATATAACGTAAAGGAATTTGGAAAACAGATTCATATTTAGCATCCAAAAAATTAAAGAACATGATTAACCTTGTTTTGGTGTTCAAAAAAGTTATTTCTTGTTGGACGATGTAATTGATTGTTCATTTCTAAAGATCAGAGTTTTCAAAAACTTAACTAAATATTAATAAGCAAATTGTTAATTAGCAATTTTAATGATCTTTGAATATGTCAGGACATTTACGACAATTGGACAATACCAAAGGAAGTTTCTCATTGTCAGAGAATCAATGATTTTATACACTTTCGCTAAACTGAATAAGCGAAAGCTGAATAAACGCAGGCGATTTAATAATTAATTAATTAGAACACTAATTACAAAATCCGATGAGTGAATGCTCTCACATAATTCTCGAGATAAAACTTTCTCCCCGACAGAATAAAGGGATAAGAGATTTTCATTTACGTTTGTCCTATTCGTATATATTATACAAATGGCACATACAAATAGCACAGCTACACAGCATATGCAGAAAAGATATTGTTGAAGTATCAAAAATTTCAAGATTCAGATTTGAAAATAATTTTGTTAAACCAAAATAATTATATAGAACGTTCAAATTTGGTTGCTAGAACATCAAAACTTTTTGCAGCATTACTCGTCATACTTGAGATTCCTATGTAATTATTTTAATATAATAATCCAACAAAATTATTTTTATCTATATTATATATAGATCTGTATCTAATCAAATTGTTGTAGATTTTAGCATAATCATTCTTTCCGTATTTAAAGACAACTCTTAGTTCTAAACTGTTAATTAAAGTTATATAATATATCTGTATCAATTTAGTAATTATATCGAAGAAAAGATTACTAAATCTTAATATTTTTTTCAATAGCACTAATTAAACATTTATTTATATTTATTGAGTTAAATATTTACTCGATAAAAAATTTTTTGTTAAATCAAATTAATATTCATTTAAACATTAATAAATGTATAAATGAACATATATTTATTTAATGCAAGCATGATTAGTACTATTCAAACAAAAAATTTATTAAATATTTATTAAAATTTAGTATATTTTTTCAGTGTAGAAACATAATTTTCTAAAAACAACTTGCTGCTACTTTTCACATACTCACCTCGATACTAAAATATCCTCTGTCGACATAATCGCCTAGGAAGAGATACTTAGTCGAGGAAGGTGGACCGCCCACTTCGAACAATTTCATCAGGTCGTAGAACTGTCCGTGAATGTCGCCGCATACTGAAACCAAAAGTAGAACCAAATTAAATGTGGAAAGGAGCCCCTTCCTTCAAAGGGAAAACTAGTGAAGAACTAATTAGCAGCAAGTTTTCTGAGCTGCGAATTACGTAACGTCGCATGCAATACTCTTTCGGGGCGCATTGAGTTATGCGAGATAAAAGCGCTATTCAAAAAACGAGACGTAATTACCCAGCGAGCGATTAATATAGCGCGATTAAAACGCATCTTGCATCGAATATATAGACATTAGCGACCCTTGAGAGTCGGTAAACTTGTTTGCGAACGTTTCAAAGTGAAATTACGCTTCTGTGTCGTGGAGGATACGGGACGAAGCGGGATATGTTGAGAAACTTCAAGTACGAAACCGAGAACTATTAGCGACCAGAACCCGGAGTGACGTCGGAGTTACTTTGACGCGGTATTCGTCGTTCGTTTTCAATATTGTTTCACATTGTCTAAAAAAGAATTATTCCAAAAAATTATACATATAAAAATTTATGTATATATGTATATATATACAATTATTGCGAATAAATTTAATCATTTAATCGTGCTTGTAAGATCATATAGTCATATAAACCAAGACATTCGAAATATGAAGAAGTATCTACATTCGCTTTTCTTTCTATTCTTTCACATTCTATTATATTTCTCAACATGTTTTTGTTCTCTTTGTACATTTTGTCCAAATACCACAACGCTATTTTGAAATGTTTGTACAATTTCGAAATTTGACGCTCTCTTTAGCGAACAATAGCATAAGACGGGCATAAGACGAGCCAAGACAGACGATGAAAGAATTTTTAAAAGATACATAAAAAAAACAGATGTACAATGAAATATAATGAAAAGAAAATATGACACGTCGGAAAGCGGTAAACTGTTATACACATGACGATAAATGAAGGCCCATAAACTGCTGCAACTTAGTTTTCAGCTATCCAGCGAAAACTATCGGAGGACTGAATACTGTGCGCCGGCATAACATCATAAGCTCTTACGACTATCAACTATTTTTATTATTCACCGCTTACAGTACGTTACAACACTGCTTTCACAACATTTTCCGATACCGTTTGTTGCAGAGGTGCACTCACCAATAAAGTTGTTCTCGAACTATGCGCCGCACAGTGCAGTCGTCCGTTGTAGTAATCAAATAAAAAAAAAAAAAAAGATCTATATTTCAGCTTTATACTTCGTTTGAAAAGCGCGGAGTCCACCAATGAAGGATTGATAGGAGTCTGACGTATGATATTTCCACCATAATAGAAACTGATCCACGAGATACATTATTATTAAATAGAATTTTGCGTGATTCTCTTCAAATATATACATCGGTGTAGCTTTTTTTTGGTGCGCCACGATTCTATTTTCATATCGGCTCAATTTTTCATGTTTAAAAAAATTTTTTTACACGGTAGAGAGATAAAACATTTGTTTCTATAAAGAGAGAGAGAGAGAGAGAGAGAGAGAGAGAGAGAGAGAAAGAGAGAGAGAGAAGACGCGTAAGTTCAGCGTTTACATAAAATATTATCGCGGAACAAAGGCAGACACCGACGAATAACATCGACGCTGCTTTTTGTTCAACACGCGACGATATATCTCACGTTAATACCGGGTCGGCCCAGAAACTGGAACAACGTCGCGTAAAGCAGCGAAATATGAGGCGGCAACCTGACAGCGAAAGCGCGGATAGATACCTACGATAATTAAATTGAGATCGTATTAATATAACGGGACAAGAAGAGGCAAAATAATTGACTGTAAAGGATGAATAAAGGAGATAGAGTTAGCGAATGTGGATCAGCCTGAACGGTGATATGGTGACGTTCTTAATTTTGGAGAACCATCCTATAATCTTTGTTTTATAAACATCGATGATAGAAAATTGTCAACAGTTATACAATCTTCATCTTCTAAATTCTGAGGAAAAATACAGCAATAGAATCATGAGAGAATTGCGAAAATGTTAATTAAGATTTTGTATTTACTCGAAATCTTGTAATATCACTGATTTTCGCACCATATTACGTGAATTAATAACTCCTACGGAAAATGAGATAATTCGAGCCGTTCGTCTGCGCTTTGAAAGTCGAGTGGCGAGGAATGCGTGGGAAGGAACCTACTCGAGACTCACAAAAGAATAGAAAGAAACTGAACTTTATTCTTCAGTCTGTTCCTTTCCGCCGCGGTGCTTACACCTCGCCATTATTATTCTCTCCTTTCTTCTTTTTTACTTCTAATGTTTTCTACAAAGAGCAAACAGGACGAGTGCAAGCATCGTGGCGTTATAAATAAATGATCGCAAAGAAAATAAAGTAACATTATCGGTTCGGTTTAGCGTATTCTGGGTAGAGAATCTAATAAACTTTGCAAATGCATAATACAAATATATCCTAGGCGAAAGTTTAAAATTTTAGTTTTCGAGTTTTGAACAATTTAGAGTTTATCTTTGACTGATGATTTTCCCATTCTTTGATCTTTTGTTTCTCAATTCTCATAATCCGGTGTCCTATTTTTCGTTGGGTAATCGTCTTGGGATTCCAACAAGTAGTAATTTCAGCAACGGATGGCACTAGCGCACTGCTGCAAACCAAGTCTAAATATTTCAGACAATCCCCAAATGTATTGGCTTGGTTTGGTTCTCTCTCTCTCTCCCTCCCTCCCCCTCTCTCTCTCTCACTCACTCACTCACTCACTCACTCACTCACTCACTCACTCACTCACTCACTCTCTCTCTGCGCGTTTAATTATTCGCATGCGGATACCGTAGGGCACAGCACGAGCAAAGCAAGAACGTAATTTTGGCTTGGCCAACAGTGACCCCGACGATGTTACGTACTGTTCTATTGACTCGGCTTTTGCCGGCGCGTCACGTGCCACGTGAACCAACTAAATTTTCGCAGAAGCCGCGTTTCTAGGGTGTATCCTATGCGCGCAATGTATTCACAATCGTGATCTAATTATTTAAATCGCCTACGTCACTGGGACAGATAGATGCGGATATACTTGTCGATACTACGCAGAACATAGGTTCGTGTTGTCACGTCTATGGAATGAGATAAATCAATACAAAATATCCGACATTGTTACACGATACACGGAATCGTTTTTCACTCGTTGCCTAAAGCAATTTCTAGTTTCGCACATAATCCTTTATTGTAAGTTAATAACTAACTTCAACGAAACTATTGAGACGATTGTATACCTACGCATATGTATATCTGCAAGTTCATAAACTTGCACTTGGAAATGTGTCTGGAGATTACTTTAAGGGCGATACGCGTATTCAGTGTCTCTCTTGATCGACACAAAGTGAATTAAACGGATATTCGCAGTGGTTCGCATCGACAAGGATCACCGCTAAGTAAGCACGAATTAACATTGCCGACAACATGCCGAAGAGCAGTTAACACGAGATATGGAGACACGAGCCACTAACGCAACAGCCACGAGCCACTAACGCAACAGCCACGAGCCAGCCTTGATCGAATACCGATCCTACTCGCTTACATTCCAATATTATCCCAGAAATTCGTCTTCCTCTCGGCTGAAGTACTTCCTTGATTTATAAAATAGGACAAAAGACGTTTGGGATAGCAGAGGAAATTTGCCGACCATTTTTCATTCCCATTATTCATTGCCCATCCAAATTTTGCATTGCAATAGAGTTTGGTAATTGTTATAAGATAGAAATATTGATGAATTATTCTGTCATATGTAAGCCATTGCTTGTTACATTATTAGATATCACAGGAGCAATATAGTAATTGATCACTTTGAATTAAACATTTTATTAAATATTAACATTCTATTTTTTAACTTTCACTTTTTTTTGTGTCAAAATGTAATCATTATAGATAATTTCAAAGTGAATGTTTATATTAATGTAAGCACTTGCAAGGAAATCTAAGGAACTTAAAGAACTATCTTTAATTTTGAGCTTTAAGTATATAGTTTTTTAGACAGAAACCAGAGATATGTATTTTTTTATAATAAATAAAATAAAAGCCAATCACACTTTTAGAGTTTGCAACATTTCTTTGAAAAAAAATCGCTTATTATCTTTCAAAGCGAATATTATTGAAACTATAAGAGATACAAAAAAATATTTAAAATACTAAGATAAAAGTTAAATTGTTTTAAGAGTAGATACTTAATAAGTATAATAATTAAAAAAATTTTTAATTAAACAAATTTTTTAAAATTATTATTGTAAAGTACTTTTTTCTATCTTTTACAATTTCGACGATCATTGAAATCGAAGGGGAACACTTCCATGAGTTTTTTTTTTTTAGTAAATTATGAATTACATTTTATTCAAACTTAATTTAATTTAATTTGTCGTGTATTAATAAAATTAATATCTTTTATAATTAAATTTATCTCTATTCTTTTAAAATTTAAACAACCTATTAAGTGGATGACCTACACACAGATATGAATAAAAATAACTCGAATTGAATAATATATATAATTTGATATAAATTTAAGTGTACAAGATTGATATTATATTTTACGAAAATAAAGAATGAAACTAATATTCATTCTAGATTTCCCTTAAACAAAAAACATCATATTGTTCGCCTTATTTGTTTGATTTATCTCCCTCCTATAACTATGTTACTCCTTATGGGGCGATGCTCCATGTATGACGAGATGAAATAATTCATCGATATCTCTATCTTGTAATAATTTTGAGAAACCTATAGCTACGCGGAATTCGGATGGGTGACGAATGAAAGATGATAATTTTCTTCCTCTGAAATGTCTCGCCTTATCCTACTTAATAAATCAAGAAATCTCTTTATCTAAGGAATAGAATTTCTAGAATAATGATATTCCTAGTACTAAAAAAAGAAAGAAACGCTCAGAACACGAATCATGTATACGAATAGCTATAACGCACAAAAAACTGAAACAGTAAATCATAAGGAGTAAATTTTGGCCAATTACAATAAAAACCATAAAGTCAACGTAAGTGATAGCAAATCAAACAT